CCCTAATTGAACACAGAATTTAAAAATAGTGTCAGTATTTTAAAAAAGTCAGTGGCGTAAACATAGGTCGGAATAAGGAAACCTACACCCTCAATATCTATGCCACTGGAGTGCCTTGAAAAGAATTGTTATAAGCAGTACGTGAGTCAGTATTTCCCAACTATATGCATAATATTTCAGCCAAATTAGTGAAACGGTTTAAAAGTTATGGTAAAAAAACGATTTTTGGTTTCAAACTTTGGAGATCTGTATCTCACTTATTTTCAATTTTTCGATGCATGTTTTCCTTGAAAATTCGTTTTGTTTTTTGATTCTCTACCGACTGGCAAAATTAAGATCATTAAACCCGGGACACCCTGTATATATATGTATATATATATACAGGGTGATTCAAAACTCGAGGCGAAAAATTAAGAAATGTATACAGTTTTATATTCTTGATAAAAAATGTAAAATAAAATTTTTAGAGATATGGCTTTGTTTCCGAGATATAAGACTTCAATGTATTTGCATGAGATCAATTTTTAACTTTATTACATAAAAATATAAAAAATAATTAAATCAAATGTTCAAAAATACCATCATTAGGACCAATTAAAAATTTGTTTCATTAATTGTTCTTGGTTATTAATTTCCACTGCATAAACCAGTTGTTTTAATGTTTTATTAGGGAATCTTTTGTTATGCTCCCGACAAGCTTTTAATGCGTTGCCATCACAAAAACAGTACACAAAAATAATATCTGCATTTTCTTCGTTGGAAAACTGCAGGATTAACAAAAGAACTAATCCAATAAAGCAACTTTTAAATTTGTAAACAATTTTTGTTGACTGTCACCAGGTGACAGTAAACTCACTTATTTCTAGGCTTACTGTAATTTATGAAATTAAATTGTTCGCATACAGAAACTTTAAAGTCTAATATTTCGGAAACAGATCTATATCTTCAAAAATACTATTTTACATTTTTTATCAAGAATATAAAACTGTATACATTTCTTAATTTTTCGCCTCGAGTTTTGAATCACCCTGTATATAGACTGGGCCAAAAAAATCAACTTTTTTTTTTTTAAGTATATCCAAAATATGGTTTGGGGTGACAAAAAAAAATTATTGTGAGAGTTTGAGCCCATAATATTAATATTAAGAGGTCTATCATCGCAATTTTATTTTTTTTTCCTCAGCAAGTTTTTATCTCAGAACTCCCAAACCATTGAGTTTAACAAAATTGACTTAAAAATATTTTTTTAAGAAAATTAAATGCTCTACAAAAAAGGTTAAAGTGAAATTTCCTTAAAATCATGCCTTAAAAATTGGTATAGTTTTACATTTTGATCTTTTAAATTGGAATTTTTTAATTCATGTAAAAGTCAGTACCCATAAAAAACCGATAAATATTCTTATGGGAAATCAAATGCTCTACAACAATCGATATATATTAGGGTGTTTCAAAAAAAATTAAAATTATTTTTTTTTCTAATGGTGTTGAAAAATTAATAGTACATTAAAAAAAAATTTTTGGCGCATATTTTAGCCCTTAATATTAATATTAAGGTTTGCCTCAATTCATTTGTTGTTTTTCCATTTCAATAACAAGGGAATTTTTATTTTTTAAATTTTGAATTCTTATAATTTTGGAATGGTTTGTTTTCGCAACACCCAAGCGAGAGGAGTTATAGACAATTTCACGCTCTACAAAAAACATCTAAAGGTCAAAGTTCTTCAGGTCAACCGTTTCAAAGATATCAGCGATCAAAAATAATATTATTTTTTATGTAAAATCACTTTAATTCTGTTAAGACTGTAAACTTTTTTTTTATTTATATAATTGTACATATATATATATATATATATATATATATATATATATATATATATATATATATATATTAGGGTGGTCCTTAATAAGGTTATTTTCAAATTTCAAGGTTATTTTCAAATTTCTTTGCTCCCAGGGGCTCAAATACTTCCAAATTGATAAAAAAAAAATCCCTGAAAATTTGAGCTCTTAATATTAACTCGCATTCCAATCTAAGTTTCCTATGGAAATAACATAGGAAAAATTATTTTTGTTGTTTATAATTTTATATCTTGGGAACGAATGAATTAAAAATTATAAATCATACATATTTTTATAGAGAATTTAACGCTCTACAAAAAAGGTTTCTTATAATTTTTCCATTAGTCTATTGGTTTAAAAGTTATTCAACGCCAAAGTTAAATTTTCATATTATTATTAATATTATCAAGGCTTTTTTATGAGGCGCCGTTTGTGTCAAAATTAAAAGTGCTAAATAAACTTATTTTGTTTTATAAATAATTAATTATATGCTTTACTAAATAATTTTTTTATAAAATTATTTTTTTATAAAAAAAATTTTTTAAAAAATTTTTTTTTCCAAAAAATTTTAAAAAATAATTTTTTTATAAAATAATTTTTTTATAAAATTATTTAGAAAAAATTTTTTTTTTCTAAAAAATTTTAAAAAAGAATTTTTTTAAAAAATAATTTATTTAAAAAATAATTTTTTTATAAAATTATTTTTTTATATAATAATTTTTTTTTTAATTATTTTTTTATAAAATAATTCTTTTTTATAAAATTATTTTTTTTTTGATTTTTAGTTTAGAATTGATTTATTTATTTAAATTTGTTTTCAAGAGAATTATTTTATTTATTTATTTTAGTTTTTAACAAGTGCTTTCTTATAAAAACCGTTTAAACATAAAGAATTCTTGTTAAAAACTAAAAATCAAAATAAATGTAGATAAAAAAATTAATGAATTAATGAATAAAAATAATAAATTATTATTTTAAATCGTTTCCCCAAATTGCGTCAAACAAAAGCCCATGGGCTTTTGTTTGACGCAGTCCGTCGGGTTTACTCGAGTAACAAATAGGCTGCAGTAAAAATTAATTTATAAATGCGTCTTTTATTAAATAATTTTTAATTCGAATTGAAAATTATTTAAAATAATTTTTATTTTATAAAATTTTTTACAAAAAAAAAATTATAAAAAAATTATTTTATAAAAAATTTTACAAAAAAAAAAAATTATAAAAAAAATAATTTTATAAAAAAATTATTTGGTAAAGCATATAATTAATTATTTATAAAACAAAATAAGTTTATTTAGCACTTTTAATTTTGATTATTAATATTATAATATTAATAATAATATCAAAATTAAACTTTGACGTTGAATAACTTTTAAACAAATAGACTAATGGAAAAATTATAAGAGACCTTTTTTGTAGAGCGTTAAATTCTCTATAAAAATATGTATGATTTATAATTTTTAATTTATTCGTTCCCAAGTTATAAAATTATAAACAACAAAAGTAATTTTTCCTATGTTATTTCCATAGGAAACTTAGATTGGAATGCGCACTATCTAAGAGTTAATATTAAGAGCTCAAATTTTCAGGGAATTTTTTTTTATTAATTTGGAAGCATTTAAGCCCCTGGGAGCAAAGAAATTTGAAAATAACCTTATTAAGGACCACCCTAATATATATATATATATATATATATATATATATATATACATAAACATACAGTGCCTGCAATATCAAGTCCGACCGCACTGGAAAGGACGGGTGTTCAATACCCGCGTGAAAAGAACAAGGATAGAACGCCAAATAGAATTTGATTGGCCAGCCGGCAGGCTACGACAACGCATACCCATCGCGCACCTCGCAGCGTGCTTGACAGGAGGATATCAGAACGAGAACTGCAGTGGTGCCAGCAAGAGGTAGTAATTTTAGTAAAAAAGATTATTTAATTAAAAAATGTACACGTTGGAACAAAAATTTCAGATTTTAATCTGGCATTTTGCTGGTAATTCTGAACGAGAAATTCAAAGATTTTTGTGGGGGTACCTCAAGTCGAAGCTGTACGTTTTCCAGGAAGATCGGGCTAATAACCTCAATGATTTAGGAATCCGCATAACTAATTTGTTGGGGGATATTAGTCCAGAAGTCCTAGCTAATGTGCGTGGGAATTTTTATAATAGGTTAGGCTATTGTTTGGCTGCCTATGGGGGCTTGTTCGAACATTTAATTTAATTTTTGAGTTTATTTATTTTTATTATTTATTTTTAGAGTTTTATTTTTATTTAGAGTTTTATTTTTATTTATAGTTATTTTTATTCAGAATTATTTTTTATTTGAGAAATCTTTTTTATTAAGAATACTATTTTTGTTGTTGCCCTAGTTCTCAAGGAAAAAATCAAAACATTTTATTTTTAGGATTCGGGTATAAAATATTTAAAAAGAAAATTAAAATGTGCATCCACACTCTAACGCAGTTTGATTAACACTAAATCATTTAGTCTAAATCCAGCTAGACTGGCTGCCAGAGTTGGCCACGCTTACAATTCGCACGCATCCGGCAGCCGGCTCTGGCCAATCAAATTCTATTTGGCGTTCTATCCTTGTTCTTTTCACGCGGGTATTGAACAGCCGTCCTTTCCAGCGCGGTCGGACTTGATATTGCAAGCACTGTATAATATGTCATATATACATAAAAAAAAGTTTAGTCTCAGGTTAACAGAATTAAAGTGATTTTACATAAAAAATAATATAAATATGGCCTTTGATATTTTTTTGTATTTTATTTGAAAATATTTGAAATTTTTGATCGCTGATATATTTGAAACGGTTGACCTGAAGAACTTTGACCTTCAGATGTTTTTTGTAGAGCGTGAAATTGTCTATAACTCCTCTCGCTTGGGTGTTGCGAAATGAATTGAGGCAAACCTTAATATTAATATTAAGAGCTCAAATATGCGCCAAAATTTTTGTTTTTTAATGTACCATTAATTTTTCAACACCATTTGAAAAAAAAAATAATTTTAGATTTTTTTGAAACACCCTAATATATATATATATGTGTGTGTATATATATATATATATAATTTATATATTTATATATAATTTATAATATTTATATATTATATACAAAACATTTTCTTGTGACATAACCTGTATTTTATTAGGATTGTGCCCTGAGTGTTCAAGAAAACTGAATTATCACAGTAAAAAAAGAGAAGTTAAGAGATTAAAAAGGAAACCAAATAAAGAAAAGAAAAAACACATACACAAATCAAAAGATAAAGAGTCATCTATTAAACCATCATCATCTGCTCAGTCTACTAGTACAACATGTTCAGAGGGAAAAAATCCCACAAAAGAAAGTTCCAAAGAATCACCTTGGGAAAATCACAAACCAGAAGAAGTCAAATCAAGGGAGGAAGAAATGGAAGATTATTTAGAAGATTTACTTTTGTAGTCAGGTAAATCATTTTTATATTAATAAATTACTATTTCTACAAATCAACCATTATTTTATTTAACTTGTGAAACCATATTTAAACTTTAAATTTAGCTATAAACTGTCAAATTTAAAAAAAAAAACCAAATGACATTGTCAGATTCCTAAAAAATTATTATGGAAGCTAATAAACTGGTCATTGAAGCAGTTCAACCTGATGATCCGAAAAAATATTTTATTCTAAACATTGATCATGAACTTGCAAAAGATAAACGGGACTCGACCTTGGAGCACACAGATCGTTCAAAACTTTCATATGAGAAGTTTTCAAAATACATGGATAGATTTAATGAACTTTGCTTTATTACTACAAGAGATGTGCATATGACTCATGAAAATAGAATAGAAGGCCTTAAAATTATAAGACGTATTATTCATAAAGCATCTCCAAGTAATCTTTCTAATATTCATATTATTCATATATTGTGGGGTTACCTTACTTGTTTGCATCATTTTCAGACAAGACTTATTTTAAAATCAGGTAAGTGAATTAGTATACTAGGTAATGTCTTTGTTTTTCTTCCACCTTTTGTATTCAGGCCCTATTAGCTGGTTCAGGCAAAGAAAGTTTAAAAAAGTGGCAAAATTTCTGGATAGTATACTAAATTTTTTTCCAAAAGAGTATTTTTTTATTATTCTTAGTTCAGTGTTAACTTTTTTTAAAGTTGGAAAATTGTGGGAAAATGAAGAAATTTCTTATTTGGCACTCTCAAAAACATTGCTATTTATTGGAAATATTGAGGATTCCTTTATGTTTCTTATACGTAAATCTACTTAAAAAATAAAGCAATTAATGAATCCTTTTAAGTGCATTTTTCTAGAGGCAGCAGAAGAATGGGCTGGAAAAGACGCTATACAAGCCAGAGATATAATTGAAGTTCTATTTGAAATGATGGATTTTCTAAAATGTAAAAGTTTACCCAAAGATGTTATATTAAAATTTATTACAATTTTTCAACTAAGCATTGACCCTGATTGTGAAGATAATGTAAAATATATTCATCTTAATCATGGAATTCAAACTTGTATCGGAGCTTGTATCAAACATTTTTCAAATAAGGAAACAGCGAAATTGTTATGTAATATTTATACCATGGTGATAATTTGATAGATGATCACATATTTTTAAGATTTTTTTATCTTTAAATTATGTGGGTGTTTCTAAAGTTGAGGGATTTATTTTAGTTCTGTTTAATTAGGTCTAAAGAAATCGTTTAGAAAGGTTACATAATAAATACGTACCTTTGGGCCATTCCACGCGTAACGGATAGGACAGTTGCCGTGTTTTTATTTACAAAATAATATTGTTCTATTATATTACCAATGTCAAATTTTATAAGTAGTTCTAAACTAAAGCTGTTTAACAAGGTTTTTATTTGGCAAAATTAGGTATCGTGGTTGACTGTTTAATTCCTTAAAAACTAATAATTTAAAGCGTAACGGACGGGACTTTGTAATAGTCCCGCCCGTTACGCTTTAAATTATTAATTTTTAAGGAATTAAACAGTCAATCACGATACCTAATTTTGCCAAATAAAAACCTTGTTAAACAGCTTTTGTTTAGAACTATTTATAAAAATTTGACATTGGTAATATAATAGAACAATATTATTTTGTAAATAAAAACACGGCAACTGTCCTATCCGTTAAGCGTGGAATGGCCCCTATATAAGTGATATTTTATAACTTAAGTGTCTCTAAAATAAAGTGACATGTATAACCTGAAATTGGGAAAAATTGTGTGAATCGCTTGTGACTCATATTGTAACCAACACAAAATATTTGAAATTATATTTTAATTTAAAACAATTTTGCTAATGTACACAAATTATTAACAAAATCTGTGACCATCAATCAGACAAGTTGCCTAAACTAAAATTAATTGCATCTTCAAATTTAAATTTTTAGATACGATTTTAAATCATGTGCATACACAAGACCTCTCTGAAGACGCAATTATAGCATTTGCATCGTTAGCTGAAAATGCAGCGTCAAGATTAATGTACAATTCGCCTATGAAAACAAGACCAATTCCAATTATAACGTTATGCTTTAAATTTATCAAAAGCAAGAGTTTTTTTGAATGCATGTTAGGCTTAGTTGTATACCAAAACTTATGGGACAGATATAAAAACAAACCCTACTTTACAACCCCTAGAATATTTCAAAGCGAAGAAAATTTTAATTTAACCTTTGCCTTGTATGCGAGAGAAAGCGGACAGTTTTTTAAATCTATACGTAATCGATTCCAAGAATGTTTTCTTAGTATTAATTTTTAGAACATTTATATATTTTAACTAACAATTTATTTTAGGTTGTATTAAACATCATCCCGATAACAAAATTATTTTAGAAAATGTGTATACGTGCCTAGCTTTAAATATGTGCGACCTACCATGCGGATTAGTTTCCTCCTCGGTCGCATGTTTGGCTGTCAAAATTCAAGAATATACTATAAACAATGCTATGAAGTTAACTTATGAACACCAATTCCATCTTCATGCCATGGTATTTATTATTTATTTATTTATTTTAGTACAAGTGTACTATGTTCCACACCCAAAAGTCCCACCTTGACATTTGAATACAAATAATAATCTATCTTAGTTTAACTCTAATAAAGTCCCTGATGCATGCCGATGGTTGGCGTAGTCGAAATTAATAATAATATCTTTATTAGCCAGAATGCTATACAGAAACAGGAAATGGTATAAAATAAATAACATAACATAGAAAAATAAATAAACAATATACATAATGACAAATTAAAATAGTGATAATATATGAGATTTTATACAATTTTTAAAAGTTGTAATATCACTACATTGTTGTATATCTGGGGATAGTTTATTATATTCAATCATACCCTTTTACAAATTTGACATTTGTACTGTACAATGTACAGTGTACATCTATCAAGTTGGAAATGTTTTTTATTACGAGTATTATATTCACCACCTCACGAGCATGTTGTAGCCATGCTTAGATTCCAGGTTCTCTCCAGATACGTATCCTTTCAGAATCTGGGTGGTAGCAAAATCTTGACTCATCAGAAAAAAGAATACGGCTCCGATCATCAGGACCCTAATTAAGATGTTCTTGTGCCCAAGCTAAACGAGCAGCGCGATTTCCAGGGAGCAATCGGGGTACACTTAAAGTTCGTCTCTGAAATAGACCTTGCTCTCGGACAGGGTTTCTGACGGTTTGAGCTGACACAATCAAATCGTGGGTCCTAAGAAGCTCTTGTCTTAGCTCGGGAGCTGTTATTTCCGGGTGTCTCCAAGCTTGCAAAAGCAAAAAGCGGTCTTGTACTGGGGTAGTTATCCTACTGCGGCCTTGATGTCTTTCTTTCACGTCATTATACTAATTTTAACGTCTCCATAATCTGCTTATAACACTCACAGATGTGTCCATTTGACGAGCCACTTCACGTTGTGATAAACCACTCTCTATCATACCAATTGATCTTAAGTTTTGTTCGTCACTTAGATGGTGCCTTTCCATAGTAATAAAAGTATTTTTTATAAAAATTTGATAAATATTGGGTCAATAACACAAGATATACTAAATTGCACCGTTTAAAGGGTACCCAGAAATACAAAAAATAGTAAAAAAACCTTATTTCTTGCATTAAATAATGTGTTATACAGTGTGCTCTTTTATATTTAGTTATGTTGTTTTATAATTTATAAGTTAAATTTAGAGATGCGACTTGAAAAAAAACGGTCCGTTTTTTTTGTTTTTTTTTCAGGTTTTTTTTCATTGTTTTTTTTCAAATGGTTTTTTTCACATTTTAGGTTTTTTTTCAAGATTAGTCCCATTTGCCTAATTTTTTAGGTTTCATGGACTAAAATTAGCCACTAAATGACAATTAGTAAATTTAAATACAGTCTCGCGCTATGCACGCGCCACCAACACCGAATTGACCAATAAGGGCCGCGCTTGTTTTGATTTGGTCCTAAAAAAAGTAACTACATATAATATTTTTGATTCAGCGCTTGATTTTTCAAAAAGCTCCCAAAAGCACTTTTTTCATGATTTTTTAAATTCATGTAGAGTATGGAATTTTTTTTCAAAAAAACAATAGCAAATTCTTGTAGGTCATTTATTCATTGGTGGTTAAGTCAGAACATTCCGTGGACCTGAAAGCCAAAAAAATCGATTTTTTTATTACGGTATTTGTTAGGATTGAGCGTTGCACATTTTTCATCTAAAAATCTCAAAACTAGAAACTTCAAGCTTCAAATTGCTTTTTTTTACGGCTCCAATACGACCATTTTTAACAAAGATACATATATGTAGGTATATAATGTACAGTTACGGAAAGAAGTAATGTCCATTTGAATACTCCATTGTAATTGTTCGGAGGCATTCGGGTTTTGCTAATAAAATTAACATATCTATTTTTAAACTCAGTAATTCTACCTACCTGCCATTTACCATTCTTTCTAAGCACATTTCATTTGACTTTTAAGCTTTTATGCAATAATTAAATATTTAAGGAATAACATTGATTCTGAAATAATTTAAATAAAATATTTGTTCTATAACTTATTAAATAAACTATATATTATTTAATAAGTTGTTATTAATAAAATAATATATTTAAATGAAATATAGACATTTAATACTAAAATAATTATAAATTAAACTAAAATGCATTTTGTGCACTATTAATACGTTTTTCTACTTCTATTGCATATTATTGAAATTTTTTGTTTTTTTTGCGTAAATAATGGTAACCAATATAACCGCCCGGCCTATCAAAGTGAATTATAATATATTATTATTATATTCACGTTGTTATAACCTATAGGTATCAGTGATTGGCTTATTTTAATCGCTGTGTCTAGTCTCACGCTAGCGTGAACGCAATTTAATTTTTATTCTCACGCTAAAGTCAAAATAATTTTAATTTTATTCTCACGCATTATTTTATTTAATTTTACTTTTTAGGTGTCGTGTCATTTGATTTGATTGTTATTTGATTATGTCATTTGATTTGATTATGCAAATGTAATAAAATTTACTAATAATAAAATCGAGACTCTTTTACTGCAGCCAAACCAACCCAAACTCAACAACACAACCCAACCGACCCTGCCTGACGGCTCGACATGCAAACCTTATCCTTTTGAATAATAGCCTGCATTATCTCTCGTATAATAAATACCTAATAATATACTATCATCAACATTTTAGTTTTCATTACTTGTTTTATGAAATATCTGCCCAATACCAACTTATTTCAATGTATAAAAATGCAATAAAATATGGAAACGGCATAAATTTATAATTATTATAATAATTTAACTTGGTATTCCCAAAGGCTCTAAGTGTCAAAAATAAAATTGTGAGAAATCAATGAAAATCCATCCATCTTTAAAATACAAAAATAATATGGAGAAATTTTTTTTACTCGTTTTGCAAGGCACATAGACTATTTTTAAATTATAATATAATATTTGACCAAATTTGGTCCAAACCCTTTGGGAATGCCATGCTTCAACTATAATTGAGGAGCATCCGTGCAAAACCGGCTAAATCCATTTTATTCAGTTTTTGTTTTTTTTTTGATTTCGCATCTTTGGGTTCATTTCTATCGACAACCAAGATAATTCTGTTTAAATCCGACTATATCCATGTTAAAATCACATTTAAAAGGTTGCTTTAGGAGCAAAACCGGCCAAATCCACGTTTTTATAGCAAACCCGGCTATATCCAATAAATAATAATGATGATGAGCATGTGGCTTGGATATGTCGATACTACTAATAAAATTTGTTCTGTTTTTTCATGTTTGCACTAAATTTATTTTGTTAATATTTTTGAATAATAAAGGTTTTTTTTTCACATTTTATTCGTTTTTTATTCGGTTTTTGAGCAAAACCGGCTATATACAAAACATTTTTTGAAATTTTGGCCTTAATATAAAGTTTTTGAAAACGAAAGTATGTCTTATAAATCAAGTACCACAAAGCCCATAAAACTCAAGTTTGCTTTTTCTTTTATCTGTAAAGGCCAGGAAACCGAGAGTTTTTGCCATTTTCCCAACATTTTATTAAAGTGGATATAGCCGGTTTTGCACGGATTCTCCTCAATTATTAATGTAATTATTTACCATTTCTTTTTAAATAAAAAGGCAGCTTTCTTTGCTCATGGTTTTAGATAATATTTTCATAAAAAAGGGTCCTACTAAATTTTACCATAAATTTTGTTTCGCTGAAAAAGTTTGAAAATCTTGAAAATTTCTATAAATTCAACTTTTACCTTGAATACCTTTTAAAAGAGCCCTACCAAAATTTGTTTCAGTTTTACTAATCCGAGTTAAACTATTTTAAAGTATTTTAAAAAAATCTCATATTATTTTAATGGGAAATAAAAATTCCCGATGAAGGACCCGTAAATGTAATATTAAGAGCTTAAATTTTAACAGGACCATTTTTTTGAGATTCTGAACAATATTTTTGAGGTGCTTTAAAAATAAATATTCGATATTTTTTATCAAATATTTAAAAATTTGTCCTACATTTAATATATTAATATAAAAATTTAAAATATTAATATGAAAAAATAAGAATAAATGTTTATAAAACTATACAAAAATATATCAAAAAATTAACAATTTAATAAAAATACAGTTAAATATGTAAAATACCCAAAATAATTAATTCAATACGAGCAGGTAGTAAATCCCTAAAGGCAGATGTTGACTATTTCCGAATGCCTCCGAACAATTACAATGGAGCATTCAAATGGACATTACTTATTTCCGTAACTGTACATACATACATATATTATACAGGGTGTCCGGGAAAAGGAGGTCAATCCGTTAACCATATATTCTTTGAGTTAAAACAATAAGACTTTCATAATACCATTTTTCAATTTAGAGCTTCATGTTCGATATACAGGGCGACAAAGTTTGAAATTTAAAACTGATTTTTTTTAATAATTCAAGTAATTGATAATATATTAAGTTTAAATTCGGTACACTACTTCAACATAAATAGTTACATTTTTTGAGACCAACAAAACAAAAAACAATTTGTCAAATAATCAAAATAGGGGGGTCCAGTACTCACTGACTCCCCCTGTTTTTTAGTACGTACGCCAATGACTTCCAAACGGTATTTTTTCAGGTAATCATTTATTGTTGAAAATTTTTTGTCTCTTATAAAATTTTGATAAAATGATTTGTTTTAGAGATAATTTGTAAAGTATGGGTCAATCCATATCAAATTTTTGAAATTTAATTTTTTTTTTGAAAAAATTTAGGTCATGTGATATATCATAAAAAAGGTCTCTAATAGGCCTTTAAAATAAGCCATCACTCACCTTTCTACTTTTAATAGTGTCCGAGATATCGCTATTTTTGTAAGTACCCAAATTTATTGGAATTTTTTGATTTTCAAAAATCAATAAAACAGAAACCACCCATCGAAAAAAAATCATATATGGGATTTTTGAGTTTTTTAGTGAGGTAAACAAATTTACCAAAAAATATTAAAATCGGAGATGGTGGGGGAAGAACCTTTGGTTGATTTGATATGGACTGACCCATACTTTACAAATTATCTCTAAAACAAATCATTTTATCAAAATTTTATAAGAGACAAATTTTTTTTAACAATAAATGATTACCTGAAAAAATACCCTTTGGAAGTCATTGGCGCACGTACTAAAAATAGGGGGAGTCAGTGAGTACTGGACCCCCCCTATTTTGAATATTTGACAATTGTTTTTTGTTTTGTTGGTCTCAAAAAATGTAACTATTTATGTTGAAGTAGTGTACCGAATTTGAACTTAATATCTTATCAATTACTCGAATTATTAAAAAAAATCAGTTTTAAATTTCAAACTTTGTCGCCCTGTATATCGAACATGAAGCTCTAAATTGAAAAATGGTATTATTGTTTTAACTCAAAGAATATATGGTTAACGGATTGACTTCCTTTTCCCGGACACCCTGTATGTGTGTGTACTATTGCGGCCGAAAAAAAGTAATCGACAAATTTTATCGTTGTAACTGTGGTTTTTAGCAGTGGCTTTTCGTAAGTAATATCATAAGGGCATTTAATTTTTCCGAAAAGAATCGAAAAAACACGTTGCTAAGTAATATTTTAACAAAAAGCATGAGTGCTGGTGGCAACAAAAATCCGAGTCGAAGAGGAGGATTTTTGCACCTGCACGAATGCATTTTGTTAAAAAATATTACTTAGCATTGTGTTTTTTCGATTTTTTTCACAGGAAAAATTAGATGCCCGAATGGTATTTGACAAGACTATTTCATGAGTAACAGTTAACAATTAAAATATAAATTGCAATTTTTGGTGACAACAGCTGTCAAGTTTTGCCGCGGGTAAACTCGAATAAACTGCTGACAGGTGCTGTCACACAGTTTTTTCACCTAGAAACCATTTGTAATTCAAAATTGCGTGTTTGTGATTGGTGGAAATTAAGACGAGGGAAATAGTCATAAATAATTATTATAATAAATATTGACAGTTATTGTCAAATCTATTAAGACTTTACTTAAGTTAAGTAATAAATCATTGTTATGCCTTATCACACATTAAGTGAAGCCGAAAAAGGCTATATTATAGCGAAACTTGGAGAAGAATGGTCCCAACAACGCATAGCTGATGAAATCAATTGCAGCAAAAGCGCGATTCAAAAATTAAATAAAAAGTGGATGGAAACTGGTGAACTGGGAAGGGTAATGGGTTCTGGACGTCCAAGAAAAACCACTCTAATAAATGATAATGAGTTAGTTAATTATGTGAGGCAAAATCCATTCTCCAACTCGATCCAGGCAAAAGAGGAAACTAACTTCCCAGCATCCGTCAGGACGGCTAGGAAACGGCTTCGAGAACAAGGCCTCTACACAGCGCCGGATTTAGGGGGGGTCTTTGGGGGTCTATAGACCCGGGGCGCAAGCTTACAGGGGGCGCAAAATTTTTGACTGGTAATTTTTGTTTTTTACTACAACCTAAAGGGTTTTCCCCTTTTTTTATTTTTCGTGTATTAATCAGTTTTAATTAAAAAATTATTTAAATTATAACCGTGATTGTTGCCATAGTATTATTATCTATGCATAGTATACGAAATATGTCATGTCACGTATTACGTATGGCGCCCGACAAGTTGTTGGGCGACAAGAACTTTAGTTTGCAGAAATTGATTATTTCCACCGATGATATGCATATGGGCGTAAAAGTTTTTTAATATAAGAATATTTTATTACACTACGAACAACTATTAATTTAAATTAGTTTAAAACTATAGTTATATACAGTACCAGTCATATATATATGTATGTATATTAGGGTGTCCGTTATTTACCAAGTTGGCTATTTTCACTTGGGTATCGTCAAAATCGTTTGTTTATGACCTAAAAACAATTCTAAAAAAAAAAAAAAAAATTTATCATGCCGTCTAACCCTGCCTAAAAGACGATACTTTTCCCATTTAAATAACATGGGGATTTTGCACTTTTTAGTAAATAATTTTTATCTGGCTGTTCATACTCTTCAACTTACCAAAAATGCTTGATTTTGTTTCTATTATGATCCCTTCAGATGGAGAAATTTTTGTATTGGCGAAAAAAATTTATTACAATAGTTTTGAAAAGCTTAAAATTCATTTTAATTGGTTTTTCTGATTATTTTGCTTAATCTACTCACTAATTAATATTTATTCTGTATTTCATGTAAAATATTTCATTTTAAACTCTCAATAACTATACAGAGCATAAATATAAGTTTTAAGACACAAATCATCATTTATTTTATTTTAAATATTGTTTTCAAGATAAAAAAAATATAAAAATTTTAATTTTTTTAGAATTATTTTTTAGCTGACAATTAGTATTTTATCTGAGTACTTTAAATTAAATAATTATAAGTTGAATATAGGTTAATCATTGAAATTTTAGTTTTTTCGTCAGACATTCTTTAGTTGCACTTGGAAATTCATTTTTATACTCTTTTATTACTTGAAGAAGATACTGTTTTTGATTCTCATCTTTAATTGTACAGCTCTTTCGGCTATATCATTTGTAACTTTTATATTCTTAGCAATTTCCAATCCTTTCAAATAATCATCATTTTCATGCCACGCCTGCACTTCAAGTTCTAAAAAGCTCTCATTGATATTAAACCTTTTAAAAAAGTTCAGAGTACGAGAATTTACAAAGTAATCAATTTCTTTAGTTTGTACATTTTTAATATCATTATCATTGTTGATAAAATATTTTTTGGGACAACCAAATTCATAAGCCGTATCCAAGTTCACTGCTTTGACCATTCTGCGTTTGATGTGAGGAAAGAAGTTTATTGGACGTTTGTTTATTCGTGGTATTTATATATGTGAGATTCTGGTATACAGCACCGCTTGCTATAGTCGCTCCAAATCAAGATTTGCAATTTTTAAAAGCAGTGTATGCCTATAAAACTATTGATAAATGTTTATCTGAAGCTGTCTTAAAAAAAATGAAAAACCATTTATGGTACTTGAGCCCAGAAGTGGTGGCACTTTCATTTTTCGATATCAATATATCAGTTCACATCAAACCCAGAATGGTCAAAGCATTGAACTTGGATACGGCTTATGAATTTGGTTGTCCCAAAAAATATTTTATCAACAATGATAATGATATTAAAAATTTACAAACTAAAGAAATTGATTACTTTGTAAATTCTCGTACTCTAAACTTTTTAAAAGGTTTAATATCAATCCAGTAGTTTCTGAGATAAGTATATGGGTCACCTTACGTGGACCACCCTGTACCTACTTCAGTATGTGGTTACACAATTGATATTTTATGCAACATGTATAAATCCTGTAAATTGCAGGTTGTAATTAATATCAGATTTGGTTAAGATTGGTAAAATCATTTAGACAATAATAATAATATCTTTTGTAGGTGATATCAATACTATCCTTGATTTGTTACATTTTTAAAGCAAAAGATTTAAATGAGTACATAAATAATATAATATGTCTAAGGGCAACATACGCTTCTCATTTAAGCCCGCCTTTGAGGAAAAATTATGAATATGCCCCCCATCAAATTTTGTATCCTTACTATAATTTTTTTGTTGAAGAATGGGAATTAAATTATGGTTTGTGGAGATGTTTTAGGCAACAAGATCAAATTATAAAAGTATCTAAATATAAAAGAATTAAATTTTTTTAGATTTTATTCAAACCATTGTTTTTAGTATAACTTTATTAATAAATAATAACTATTCTAATGTAACAATTATTGCTAGATTTAAACAATTACTTTTCAAATACATATAAAAATATTTGTAAAAATGGCTATTGTAATTTATAAAATTATAAAACTTCTATATTATTTCGTATTGTGCGATAACATATTAAAATTGCAAACAAAAATAATTTAAAAAAATTGTTACGTTACGCAACTCTGCTGTATTCACTATTATTTAAAAGTTTAAAGAAAACCTATTAGTTTCAAAAACCGGTTTTAGGTAATTTAAGCGCTTTTCTCTTCATTTTTCGCTGCGATTTTATCGTCGCTGTCTTCGTCAGAACAATCTTCGTCGTGGTTATGCGTTACTTGCAACGGTGTTTCCGGCCTTACGTGAGGAATTTGACTTGCTGTTCTTTCCAAAATCTAAAACGTAATAAGAAGAATAATTTAAGGTAGTTGTCGACAACTTGTCGTGGTACAATATTGTCAAAAAAGTTTAGATTATACCCACCGTAAAAGTATACGAGCTTGTAGCTAAGTGATTCATAATTTTTTCGCAAGACTACCCAAAGATAATACACCCCATAGATTGGAAACTCTCCCATCACTGCCCTCTAGTTCTACAATACCTGAACTATATCTATTTTTAAATTGCAGACATCTGTACAAACGCTATTTGCAAATGTCAATGTCAATCATAATTATTGATGTCGATCATAATTTTTGAATTAAATACATTTTTGCGCCTTAAAAGTGATAAAACGTGTTAATGGTTGTGAAATGTATTGTTGTTGGGCGCGGAAATGTAACCAATTTGTAAGTATTGACTATCCTGCCGTCCTAAGCCAAAAAGACTCATCTCGTTATTATTAAATTATTCTCTTAGAAAAAGACAAATTTTAACTATACATACATTTTTAAGTACCTACTATAGCTCCTAAAAATTTCTTATTAAATTGATCGTATCTTGGAAAAAAACAATAAAGCGCTATAATTTATAAAGTAAAAATGTAGAGTTGCGTCTTTTTGGCGTAGCACGGCAGTATCGCTCTAGCGTAAAAATACTGTTTGTTAATTATGAATTATTTAGGATTGCTTGTTTAATGGTAATTTAGTCCAGGCCAAGCCCAGGCTACTTATGGTTGTTTCAAAACCAATAGTTGGCAAGATAGATTTTTCACGGTTGGTTAGAACCAAAAGTCCACACTCAAAAGCCTTGTACAAATTCCTATATGTTAAGTTTAAACTCGTATAAGGAGCTAAATTACCAAATTTTGCAATATTCTCTTATTATTGAAGAATTAAGATTAATATTTTTTAGGTTTGCACTCCACAAACAAAAACATATTCATGTATTCAGATTATGTATATATAGATGTATGTATTTTATTTTATATTATATTGTTAATACAATAAATAAATCTTATATCCATACTTGTTTTATTTAAAATACAGCAGTAAATACAATATATAAAGGCACCCTACGAAGCATCAATATTCAAATATGGCGCCAATATGTTACAGAAATCTACTTCAATTTTTGGCATTGCTAAGGGTATTGTAGACCTAGATGGCGTTAATTTACTTTTGCCTTTTGCCGCTAGCGCTAGTGTAGTTTCCAATCTATGGGGTGTATTATCTTTGAGACTACCCTTGGAGACGTTATATACAGTGGCAATCATTTGAAAGTGCACGATTTTTTTCACTAGTGTAATACGATCTTTTATGTGTCATATTTATGTGTCAAATGTCAATTTGAAATTTATTTATCAATTCAAAATGCCGCGGTTATCTGAACCCGAAAAAATGCGAGCTATTGCCCTTCTGGAAAATGGTTGGTCGTTGCAAGCAGTGGGAGATGACCTGAACGTTAGTAAAAGTTGAATTTTTAAATTAAAACAAAAATGGAATGTGGAAGGAAACGTTCGGTTTGTTCACGGCGGCGGCCGTGCTAAAGTAAGCAATTCACAGGAAGACTACCTCCTTGTCAATCATTTAAGAGCAAATCCCTTTGATTCGGCAGCAAAGGCCCGTTTTGAAACACAGTTCCCTGGATCTGAAAAAGAAGGCGGATAAATAGCTCAGAGTTAAAGTGCTATAGAGCAGCAAATAAAGTGTCTCTGGAACCAAGACACAAAATACAACGAGTGAATTTTGCGAACCAGTTTGTCGGTAGACCGGATCCCTTTTGGGAGAATGTCATTTTTTCGGACGAAAAAGATTTTCTATCGTGCTACGACGGTTCCGTCCGTGTCTACCGACCTCAAAATTCTAGGTATGCAGAGCCATATGTTAACCCTACAGGTCGCAGTCCCGGTGTCTGTTGGAGGGTAGAAGATCGCTTGAATGGAGAAAAAAAAAAAGCATTTTAGAAAATGTTATTTTACCCTCTGTCAGAATACTGCATCCGCAGAATTTTATTTTCCAGCAGGCAATAACTACTATTTATTTTACAATATAAAAAACAATTAAAATTTTAGGATAATTGTGCAGTTCATACTGCAAGAACCGTTAGCGAATGGTTCCATATAAACCAAATTCAAGTTTTACCTTGGGCCGCAAAGTCGCCTGACCTAAATACAATTGAAAATGTATGGGAAATCCTCGTGAAACAAATGTATAAGAGACATTTTCACTCGGCCAATGCCGAAGAATTGTGGGAAGCAATACAAAATGCTTGGGAAAGCTTGGACGATGAGTGCATCAAAACACTTATTATGTCCATGCCGAGACGTTTACAAAGCGTAATAAACGCAAATGGTGCGTGGACAAAATATTAATTTTTAACAATTATAATAAATTAATTTAATCACTATTACCTAACTACTTTTATTAATATATATTATTTTGGTTTGGAAACATAATATTTCTTGGTAAAGCAAACATAAAATATTACCTGGTCATGAGAGCTATCAATATTATTTTTTTAACCACCTGTCAAGATGACACTTCACGTTAACCTTAAATTTTAAAGTCAGTATCACACAACTCAATTATACGCAAATTCGGCACAAGAGTCGTGCACTTTCAAATGATTGGCACTGTACATACGTAATAGTTTCAAATATTTTCATAAGTTGAGTAAAACTAGTACCAGATTCTTTTAATGTAATAATTTTTTTTTAATTTATCGGAATCTCTTATCAATAATTTTCACTTATCTCTTTTTTACTTTTTCAATAATGCAATAATATCACATATTTTCAAAAATTAACAAAGTAAAAAAAATTCAACTTTAACCTTAAATAACTTTTAAACCAGTGAATTTATCAAAAAATCATAGGAAAGCTTTTTTGTGCAGCGTTCAATTTCCTATAAAAATAATTATCTCTTATTGCTGTATATTAACTTGCTCGGGACAAAAAAATTAAATGTAAAACGTGCCGAAACCCCATGTTATTTAAATGGGAAATGTATTGTCTTTGTGGCAAGGTTTTAAGGGCTTATATCGCACATGGGCGACAACAGTGTCATAAGTAGTAAAACCTTAATTCCGAGATAATGATTGTCAAAGATTTTTGAATAAAAAAATTCTCACATAAGTATTTGTTAAATTATATTAACTTACAATATTTTCTTTACAAAGGAATAACCACACTAAGATTCTGAGCCAGTTAAAAATTAGACTTTAGAAAATACTCTTTTCGGATAAAATATATTTGGAGATATGTATGTGTTGCTGAAAATATGTGCATAAATTTTGCAGATATGTCTGTATTGCTGAAAATGTGTTGATCAATTTTTTAATTATTCTTTCTTTTATCGTTGAGTATGAGTATGAGGAACGTATGGCTGGCCTCATCGGCAATGCCTTACACTGATCTCCCAGGGTTATTTTACCCCCTTTCAGTTCTTATACGTATCCCGCCTCTGAACTTGAGTGATTAATGCTTATGTAAGGCCTTGTTTATGAGTTCTTTGGATATGCTTGCTGTTCTTATGGGAACTGTTGGCGACTAATTCATTTTTACCATGTAGAGTCCTTTGTTTGTTGATGTTGCGAATTTCGCATTAAAATTCAGTATTTGGGTATTATTAAGGTCATGTAATTTTGGTAGTATCCGGTTTATGCAGACTTGGACTTCAGGTGCATTGACAGGCAGTGTTGTGAAATTATTCCTTAACCTCTACGGCGAAACTATTAGCACCTGTTGTTTCTCTGTTTGGTAATCCAGGAAAAATTATTCGTTGTATCTAATCACCTCACTCAGACCCTTTTTCACTTTGGGACAATCTGCACCTTTTTTGCACTTGGTTCTGGTAGATCACGTGTATAATCAATATTTAATTTTATGACTTTCAACAATGATGGCTGTGGTAGCACTATGAAAGTACGAACTCGTTAAACAAGACCCTAGACAAACGACCGTTTGCCTTAAGGTGAGGAGCGTCACTTATTCATTCTTTTATTGTTGACAACTTTAATTTTACCAACCTATGCTAACAAAATTACTGTCACAACTTACAGGCAACTTACTTATGACACTGTTGATGAAAATTAAGATAGGGATTATACAAATTGTAGGCAGACACAAGTCTCCATCTAGGGATTAATTTCAAAAATATCTTTATGCTACTTTTGTAGCATAAGCTATGAGCAATTTTACACTTATTGCACTAAAAATCCCAAAATTCAGTTTTTTTGACAGACACTGTTGTCGCCCATGTGCGATATGAGTCTGATAATTTTTTTTAGGTCATAAAGTAAAATTTTAATGCGCGCTGCGAAAAAAAAACAAGTTGGTAAATAACGGCCACCCTAATGCGCATGCCTTTATGCAATATTATTGCGTATTGCACGTCTAATTGCAGCTCGAATTGCAGACTGTAATACGAGCTTTATTAGTGTTAATATCCCGCCAAATTTTGTGCCAATTCTGCCGTGATTTTTTGGGAAAATATAGTTGAGATATAAGGTAATTTGTATTCGATGGAGATAGCAAATATGCATAAAATGCATATATGCACAACACATTTATGCCCGTATTACAGTCTGCAATTACTTGCAGCAACTTTCTTGCACGAAGGCATGCGCATAGCGACGGTTCGTGCAAGTTTATTGCCGTTTCAAATTCAAATCGGTCCTGCTCGATTTTTATTGTCAGTTTGGTTGGAATTACAAAGTGTTTTACAGTCAGCAATAAAACTTGCATGCAAGAAAGTTGCTGCAAGTAATTTCAGACTGTAATACGGACTTTATACATAACCTTAACAATTTGTTTTTTTTGTTAAAAACGTTGCATTTTAGCATGGATATTCAGGGTTATATGGAACAATACCTATAAAACATAAACATGTTCCTGGAACTATGTATCAAAGAAATTATTGCTACCCGCTTTGATGTTCCCAAAACCACTTTATACAGCAAATATAAGTATTCTAATGTATTTGGGAGGCAAAATGTAATGATTACAGCTGCGGATAATGGATAATCTTTTGTAAAAAAGATACAAAAGATTGCATTTATATCTAAACCACAAAGGAGTAATAATTAGTTGTTTTAAAGAAAACCTTCCTGGCAACGCCTGGCTAAAATCTTTCCTAAGGCAAAAATTGTGTTAACTCAAACGAATGCTGAAAATAGAAACAGATTCAGAGCAGAATTATGATGAAGTATTATGCCAATATTTAAAAAAAATAAAGGAAATAAGGGATGCTTTGCAAGAACACAGAAAAACAAAAAGATTTTGTGAAAAAAGGAAACAAACACTCTGGTAATGGTTACTGCCACTGAAGGAGAACTTTTACCATTGTACCTATATTGTTACTTTTGTGAAACGGGCAAATCTTTTTCTAGCAACCCTCAAAAGTTTTAATTATTTTTTATATTAATAAATTAAAACCATGTAAATCAATTCGGAGCATTTTTAGGGTACAAGCTTTTGCATTTAATTAATAAATTTGTATACTATACCAAATAAATTTTAAAACTTTCAAGTGTATAAACAAATATAAGCAAAAATATTATTTTTTTTTACCTTTACAGCTTGTGCAATAAATTTTTTTTAAAGCAAAAATCCTCAATTTTGTTTTATAAATTTGTAATTGCTAATTGCCTAATTGCTAAAATTTACTTTTTAAAGCATCTAAACCTTTAATGAAAATAAAAATTTGTAACCTAAAATCACCTTCATTGTTATTTTTTTTATTTAGACTTGTATGTTAACTAATATCTTTTGGACTTGATATTTTTGTTAAGTAAATTATAATTTGTATAATCTTTTATTTAAAAAAATTGTAGTAATTGTTAATACAAAATTTTTTCTTTTTAAATTATTAGTTTTTTTATTTAGGCTATGTTTTAGGTTATGTTATATTTAAATTTGTTTAGTTTTTTTAGATTTTTATTCATATATATTTAAAAGTGTTAATATTTTGGTTATAGGCAATATTTTTTCTTTGTTATATTTTAAATTGTTTACATTAAGTATAATAATATAATACTATTACTAAAATAATATTTTTTAGATTTTTGTAATGTTTTTAAATATTTTTTAATTTTTTCATTAATTTTGGCAGTGTAAAATCCTACCCAAAATTATTCAAAACTCCAACGTTTTATAATACAATAATCCCACGTATTTTCAACGTTTTATAATACATAAATTCCTACATATTTCCAGCGTTTTATAATACATAAATTCCTACGTATTTCCAACGTTTTATAATACGTAAATCCCACGTTTTTATAACGTTATAAACCCGGACATTTCAACATAACGTCACCTGAGAATTATAGTGTTACATCTACATTTTCTTTTTTTTATTCAGGTTAGTCTTGTTTTAAGTCTTAAAGATAATATTGATCTATCTATATATAATTGGGGTAGAAATTGTAAAGTTTAAGGCTTAAACTGTACAATTTCTACCCCAATTATATATAGATAGAACAATATGCATCTTTAATACTTAAAACAAGACTAACCTGAATAAAAAAAAGAAAATGCAGATAGAACACTATAATTCTCAGGTGACGATAAAATTATACATAAAAGTTAGGTTTTTCCAACGTGGGAAAAACGTTGTTTCTACATAAAATTTTTACTAGGGAAGCTAATACAACATCAAAAGAAAATAACACCCATGGGTTCAGGTATTTCGTTTGGGGGCAATAGTTTTGAAGGTGCTCAAAATTCATTTTGGGGCATAATCATTTAATTTAACTTACAAAACTAATAATGAATTCATATTTGACAATTGTCAGCACAATATTAAATAAAAATACTGTTATTTTTTTTAAATTTGGCCCTAAAATATCTATTTTACAGACTTATTTGAGTCCGTAAAATGAGTCTTTTTCGGACTCAATCCCAAAAATTATTATTGTGTGTATGGTTTGAGGGGTAAATCACTCTAAAATCAGCGACACAAGGTTCACCGTTATATAGATGTTGTGCTCTGAACATTTTTCTTTATTCGACGCTTATCAATTAGAAAATATCCTTATAAATAAAAAATTTATCTTCGTGATTTTTTTCCTTAGTCGTTTATTCTTATGCAATTTTTAGTTTTTTTATGGTTCAAGATATTGTGTAATTGTTTTCGTATTTTTGTGGTAATTGTCTTACCTGGGATAAACATCTAACTATATATTGGAGCTATTTCATTAAGCAATCTGATGCCCTTGGCAGAATAAAAATGTGTTTTTAGAGAAAAATAGCTTTTTACTATTGAAATTGGCTGAAAAGTAAACAGCTGCAAATTAATTAGATTTTCAACAAACTGGAACGTTTTACTAGCTAGGATATTCGTTGTAAAACTGCCTGAGTAGTGTGGGTCATTTGCGAGGTTTTTCTACAGATAACAATTAACCAGTTCATCATCTGTTGTAGTCTAGGCAAACGTTTTTTTAAGTTTAACTTTTTAAATTAAGTTACAAACCTTTGGAGCTCTTCTAGATTGAGATACTTCAGCATCGCTAGCTTCCATTTGATACTCGGTTATGAAATGTTGTTCATGTGCTACGGTAGATTCGTGAGGCAGCAGCATTGCTGGAGCACGGAACATGTACGAAAACGGATAATACAACAGATTCAGATGAGTGGCAGCGTACAAATCGGCGTACCTTACGACCTTAAATTAAATTAGTATTATAAATACAACAACATTAGACCAAGACAAGTTGAAAACTTGGCCTTTTAAAAGTACTTTTAAAAGGACAAGGGTTCTCTTGTAATAATAATATTAAGTATTACATTTTCCAAAAAGTTACAACTTTACATTATAATGTAAATATTTTTTTAAATTACCTGCGATGAAAAGAAAGTTTGCCTAGATCCTGATCTAAAAAGACTTCCCATCATACCATAAGACATGTCCATTTTGTGGGTAACATCTCTAATAGCAGCTCTTATACTTGAAATATCTGGCTTTTCTTTTGTGCTACTATCCAAATTCCTTTAAACAATTAAATAATTTGTATAGTTTTTTATTGTGCAAGATATCTAGAATATTCTTTAACGACTCTTGTAAATTATCAAGCATTGACGGTTCAATATATTCCATTAAAATTAAATTGAACTATTTATTTTAAAAAGGTTTATTTAGTTTTTGAAGTGAAACTTCTTTGGTGGCGTTCTGATATTTGACGAGAATGGAGAGTGAACTGGAAAAAATGTAACGTTCCGAGATTTCGTTAAGAGAGAGAAATACGAGTGAACCCGAGTGAATCCGATCGCCCATCCCCAGATGTCCCTTCCCATATGCATTGTAAGCAAATTGCCGTTTTAACATAAATTAATTTCTTTTACTCAAAATTATAAGTTATAACGTCCTACACATTGCAAGAGAAAATTGACATGACAATTCTCTTCTTCAAACAAGAGACCTATTCTCAGTTAAATATCCGGATAGTTCTATTCCGTCAATTAGAACAATAACAAACGTTACCCAAAGGATTAAAAGCGACACAAAGTATATAACTTGAAAAAATGATTTCTTGATGGCAAATAATTTGGTGAAAACGGCACGAGTCTATATTTTTCGTTTTGGAGTTATGATTTTTTGAAAATAAAGAACCGTACTTAGAGGATCACACTGGTCTGCTGCAATAAAAGTGTGTAAAATAAGGGTAATAAAGGGCAAAAGATCATTTTAATTGTTAAAAACAATAAACATAAACAATAAAAATTCATTATTATCTAATTTCCAGTTACAATTTCCAAGTACGTTCTTTACGTTAATTATTTAATTTGCTAATAAATTGTTAGACACGGATTGGTCGGGTGTTTGGGTTACCGGCCTCCCACGCAGCAGGTCCGGGTTAAATTCTCGGTGGAGAAATACTTTTTTTTCATTTTTTCTTTCTCGAAAATACTTAATACTTAATGGCGTTTTTATTGTCAAATTAACTTGATACAATGAAATAAACGATATTCTAGCGCAAAATTACTTAAAAAAAATAAAAATTGTTACCAAATGGTTTATTTTTACCAAAAATAAATCAAAGAAGCAATAAACAATTATGAGTACGGTAGAGTAGCGAATATTCTACTGTTTTTATTATTTTATAATAATGCGGCTTATTTGTAATAACGCGGTGTAAATCCGACAAAAGACAAAGGCGTGGCGCGCTCAAAGCATGCCACTTTTTGGGCGCGTGCCGAAAGCAAATTCGCTTCTGTTTTTATGCCAAGGATATAAATTTATTTCGGATGAAATTAATCAGTAGTTAATAACTACTAGTTATATTAGATAGCAGTCACTGCTAAGCAGTGTCTGGGTTCGATAAATTTTGCCCTATGTTTTAAGGTATTTATGAAATTTTATTATTAAAATAATTGTAATAAACCAGCAGTACATGATCAGGCGCGTGCTGGAATGATTTTAGGGCCCGGGAAATAGTTCCCTTACAGGGCCCTCCCACGCCTTAAATTTTATGTCTTAGATAAAGGGTTGGGGTGTTGTGTTTGTGTTATTCAAATCTTACAGAGCGTGCTGGGACGGTCACTACTCACTAATAACCAGGGACTTGTAACGCGTTTCTGGTATGGTTAAAAAAAATATTTTTTACACAAATTTTATACTGTTATATTTCTTTTGAAATTATCCCTGTCTCTTTCTCTCTCTCTCTCTCTCACACACACACACAGACACAAAACTAAAATTTCTCACATTCCCTGGTTTATAAGTTTCACTTTTACCAAGTGTACGATGCTGCACATGATTTTTTTTAACAAACTGCCACCTCTGCGTCTTTTGTAGGGTTGGACAGCCAATATAACTTTTAATTGGAAAACCTTACATGACCTAAAGAATGATAACATGTACAAAATTCTTAGGACTCACTTGTACATTTCTCCAAGCTTAACATCCAGAGTCTGCAGCTCATTGAACAGCTGGCACTTATCAGTCCAGACGTGCAGCTCTCTGACCAACTCAGGTACAATCAAAAACGTTCTCCATCCCCTGATTTTCTTGCTTTTCAAGATGTCGCCGAAAATGTGATCGCCCACGTAGAGCACATCTTTACCTTTGGCGCCGATAAACTTGGTGAACACTTCGCATGAACCACCGGAGTAGACGTGCTCTCTTTGGAAGGGCCCAGTGTGGATGCCCACTCTTAGAGCGCCAGTGTTTGTGTCGACTTGACGCAGAATTGTGCCTTCACCAAAGAAGAGAGGTTTGCGTGCATCCACTACGATTATATCGAAGTAGGTTTTCCAGTTGCGGTGAGGATCGGTCGGCTAAAGAAAAATAGATTTTAATTAATTTAATGAATCGAATAGTTAGAATATTACCCACAGGACGGCCAATAACTTTTCTATGGTAATTTGGGTGCGCTGACGTATTTTTTCGACAGGCAAACTTGTTAATCAAATAATTTAACCAAGGACCATTGGTGAGGTAGCTATGGGTCATAATTAAACTAAATAAAATTGTACACATTCATGTTTTTCTCTTTAAATATCATGTTTTTAACAAAATAAAATCGTTTTTAGCCAAAACTGAAAAATTCTCAAAATTCAAAGTGCTGCTTTAGTACGATTTAAATGAAATTTACAAAATTTTGTGGCTTCATCTATCTACTTTATTGTATTTCAATGCAATCAATTAAAAATTGGCAAAATGGTACACAAAACAACCAAGAGTGTCGACATTTATATTTTCGGTCATTTTCGCTCCTTGCACTTGTACGACGAAAATAATCTAATTTTGCAACCTTGTTTCGGACATAAATTGTTCAATTTTGGCTAAAAAAACGATTTTATTTCGTTAAAAACACGAGAAACAAGAGAAATAACTTTATGAATCTGAATAATGTATTAGTTTTAGTTTATAAACAAATTAACTAATAATTAATTTAGACTCATACCCACATACCAATTATCCTCGGTTAAAGTATTTAATTAACAAAATATCCCTAGCGAATTCACCGAACGGTCAATTTATGTAAATTTTGCGTTGATTTAATAAATTTTAACGTTGCCAATTTTTTAGTTAAAATATTGGATTTTAACGTACAGTTGGCGCAAAAAAATTGCGTTAAGTTGAACCAAAACGCAACTCAAATTTGACTAAAATTGAACGTAAGTTTTGCGATAACAACCGAAAAATTAACTAAGATAAATAGACTTAAAATTGATTGATTAGGTAACCGATTTTACTCTAACATTTTTTGTATAAAATATTTGCGTTTATTTTGCATTTATTTTGACTTTTTGGTTAGGTTACCGATTTTACTCAAACATTTTTTGTATAAAATATTTACGTTAAATTTGCGTTGATTTAGCGTTCATTTTGAGTCAATTTTGACTATTTGGTTAAGTTACCGATTTTACTTTAACATTTTTTGTAATATTTGCGTTGAATTTGCTCTGATTTTGCGTTCATTTTGAGTCAATTTTGACTTTTTAATTAAGTTATCGATTTTTTGAATAAAATATTTGCGTTAAATTTGCGTTGATTTTGAGTTTATTTTGAGTCCATTTTGACTTTTTATTATAATTTTAATTTGTTTATTTCCTTGTATAAAAATTTTCTTAAATTTGCGTTTACTTTGCATTAAATTTGGGTTTCTATAGTCAATTTTTAGTACCGTTACGAGTAACGATGGAAACTAAAAGTATTAAAACTTTGGGTATTTTAGCAGCGACGAAACGCTATAGCGTATCCTCTAGGTATTGAAATGAGCCTGGTAACGAACCGTCGGTAACTAAAATGGGAACAGAAGACTCCTGGGGTTCATAAAGAATTTATTTTATGAATAAAAATCAAAAACAAATTTTTGTAGTAAATTTTCTTAAAGAACAGGGTAAACCAAAACTTCGCGTTACAGAAGTTTAAACCAAAGAACATGAAACACTCTAAGGCGAACGGTCAGTGACCTTCAGTCACATAATATGTGATAAGTGGACACCTGTAATTTTGGCACCTGTCAAAAAAACTTCAAAAAATAACAATGTTAAAAATAGTGTTGGGATCACTCGAGTGAAAAATAACCTATTACCCGGTTATTAAAATAACCTGAATTATTCGGTCATAAGTTTCGGATCCGAGTGATGAATAACCGGTTATTTGCGCAGTGTATATTTTTAAAATTACCTAGTTGGCAAGTCTGAAACGCCGTAGTAAATACAGTTATCTGTAATATACAGGTTATATTTTTAGGAATCTGCTCATTTGACAGTTAAAGTTTGTTTAAAATTTGAATTTACTTATAGAAATTTGTTAACAAAAATTAGCATTAAATTTAAATTACTACTTGGAAAAACTAAAAATGTAATTACTTGTATTAAAAATTTAATAATAATTTTTTGCCTACTAAAATTATGTTGAAAGACTACCAAAAAAGTAGATTTCTAGAAAAATGGTAATACTGCTTGAACATTACAAGCCTTTTTTAAGGAATCGGGTAAACCGAAAATTGCTTTTTTACTTTCCGGTCCGGAATGTAAAGAAGCAACGCCGAACGCCTCGTTATTTAGGCCAACCCTCCGATGAGCATTCAAGTGATCGTCATTCAAGTGATAATCCGGTTTTTAAAATCACTTGAATACTCGGTAATCGGTTATTGAAATAAATCGGTTATTCCCAACACTAGTTAAAAATGACAGATGTCAAAAATAACTAAGGTGACCAACTGTCCTGGTTTACCCAGGACAGGTTCTGGTTTTAATTGTGTACTGGTTTTGTCCTGGTTTTGCAGATTTGGTCCTGGTTTATACTAATTTTTTTATTATTGATTAACCATTTTTTTTAAAGTGGTCGGGGCTCAGGTTAAAAACTAATTTACAAATCTGTGTTTTTGGGAGTACCTTCAGGATAGTAAAAAAGTAAGAAAAAACCTCGTACCTTTACGATAGAGTAAGATCACGTCAAGTGGACCCCCCATTTACCTCTTGATCGTGGAATTCAAATAAATATATTTTAATATAAAGTAGTCACCATCAATAATAAAACACCAATTTTTTTTTTTACAATGAAAATTTTGGAGACTTTTAATTAAAAAATAGATAACAGAAAAACCGTTGGAGATATTTTAATAAAATGTTCAGGATTTATTGTTTAATTTTCACATTTTGAAAAACAATTAAAATTTTTTTAAATTATTTATTTATTATCATATTTTTAATTAACTTTTAAATAAACAAATAACAATTTTAATGACTTCTCCCTCAAATTATAAATTTGTTTTATTTCAGTTACATGCATTGTACACTTTAGTTAAATATTCTGCAATAAAATTTCACTGCCCGCTATTAGTTTAAACAATATGAATTTATTTATCCCCGAGCGCGAGCCATTTCGGTAAAGCGCGCTACCGCGCACCGTAGACTCGGCATCCGCTCCAATCAGTATTAATAAATAATAAACTGTCGTTGACAATAGAAAACCATGTTATTTAACAAATTTAATTTTTTTAATGTAATAATTATAACAAATAGATATTATATTTACTGTTTTTATGTTTTTTTTTAATTATCCTTATTTCTTTTTTATATATAAACAATAATAACAAATTAAGTTTACAAGCCATTCAAAATTTTCAACAATTTTTTGACAATGAAAATTTTGGACTTTTAATTAAAAAATAGATGACAGAAAAACCGTTGGAGACATTTTAATGAAATTTTTAGGATTGAAAAATAATTCAAAATTTAAAATTATTTATTTAGTATCATATTTTTATTAAACTTAAAAAAGAACAAATGAAAATTTTAATGACTTTTTCCTTAAATTATAAATTTGTTTTTTTTCAGTTACATGCATTGTACACTTAAGTTAAATATTCTGAAAGAAAATTTCACTGCCCGCTATTAGTTTAAACAAAATGAATTAATTTATCCCCGAGCGCGATCGCTGTCGGTTCAGCGCGCTGCCGCGGCATGCCGCGCGCCGTAGCCTCGACCACCGCTCCAATTAGTATTTATAGAAACTGTCTTTTAGAAACAATCCTATTTAAAAAAATATTTTTTTTTAATGTAATTTATAACAAATAGATATAATATTTGTTTTTATTTATAAATAAAGACTATAAACATTAACAAATAATTAAATGAAACATACATTTCCCCTCAGCATGTTACTTTTTTATATTTTTTCTTAAAAATTTTAATAGTTTTAATTTTTTTATCTTTCGAAAAAAGCTTACACTGAAGTGATACACCGTCTATATCTTTATAATGGTGAAACTGGCGGGTAATTTGTATAGTAACAGATTGTTGAAAACGTAGTTTGTATTTTTGTTCATGAGAATCATGTTCCTTTTGAGAGCAAAAACCAAAAGCAATTTTTTTAAATGAATTTTTGGCCCATTTAAATATTGACTCTGCAGTAGTAATGTGCTTATCATTGTCGCGACGTAGACTAGCACGATAAACTTGTCTTTTCAGGCTTCCTCATAAGACATCACAGCAGGTTCTCAGTATAAAATAAATATAATTTTGCTAATTTAGCTAATCACTAGAAGGACTTTAATGTTGAAGCTAAATGACTGAACTTTTTTCGACATCACTGATTATTTATTTTATACTGAGAACCTGCTCCGTCAAAAAAGTTGGACATTTTTAAAATATTATTAGCTCCGAATTTATTTTTCAATTAACTTTAAATTAAAAAATAAACTGAGCTTCTGTCATAAGTAATTTTTTCTGAAATTATCACGTAATTTAAAAAAAGATTAGAGCATTTATTCACTCGCCCCATAATATAGTAAATATTAATAAACATTATAAAGTTAATTAATTAATAAAGTAGTTAAATGCAAATCTACAAAATTAGAATTCTTGTGTTTAGTATTAATTAACTTATTTAACAAATGGCTTGTAAAATTCATTTGTTATTTACGTTTATATATATATATATATATATATATATATATATAAATAAAACAAATGGAGATAATTAAAAAAAAACAATAAAAAAAGTAACCCGCCATGGGACATTTATGTTTCATTTAATTATTAGTTCATTTTTACAGTCTTTATTTATATTTAAAAACAAATATAATATCTATTTGTTTTAAATATTACATTAAAAAAATTAAATTTGTTAAATAACATTGTTTTCTATTGTAAACGACAGTTTATTATTTATTAATATTGATTGGAGCTCTGGGATAAATAAATTCATATTGTTTAAACTAATAGTGGGCACTGCCCGCCGGGCAGTGAAATTTTATTGCAGAATATTTAACTAAAGTGTACAATGCATGTAACTGAAATAAAACAAATTTATAATTTGAGGGAGAAGTCATTAAAATTTTTATTTGTTTATTTAAAAGTTAATTAAAATTATGATAATACATAAATAATTTAAAATTTTTAATTGTTTTTTAAAATGTGGATATTAAACAATAAATCCTGAAAATTTTATTAAAATATCTCTAACGGTTTTTCTGTTACGTATCTATTTTTTAATTAAAAGTCTCCAAAATTTTCATTGTAAAAAAAAATTGGTGTTAAAATGAAAATTTTAAAAAACTGTTTTAGGGTTTTAATATTGAAGGTGACTACTTTATATTAAAATATATTTATTTGAATTCCACGATCAAGTGGGAAATGGAGGGTCCACTTGAGGTGATCTTACTATAGTAAAAAAGTAAAAAAAAACCCGTTTGAAAAAAAAATTAAAAATTATTAATTGTTTTCTCACTTTTTTAGGATTTATTCTAATTTAAATTAGAAGAAATCCTAAAAAATAAGAAAACAATTAACAATTTTTTTTTTAAGTGGTCGGGGCTCAGGTTAAAAATTAATTTAAAAATCTGAATTTTTGGGGGTACCTTCAAGATAGTAAAAAAGTAAAAAAAACTCGTTTAAAAAAATATATGAGTTTTTCCCATTTTTCTAGAATTTGTTCCAATTTTTTTTATTAAAAGTGGTCGGGGCTCAGCTTAAAAATTAATTTAAAAATCTGAATTTTTGGGAGTACCTTCAGGATATTTTTTTATTACTCACGTTATTAGCACATCTTTTTTTCAAATAATAAACATTAAATAAAATAAATTTTATTTATTTTTTTGGAATGGCGAGTCACCTTAAAAATAACAAATCGTCACCTGAGAATTATAGTGTTCTATTTGCATTTTCTTTTTTTTATTCAGGTTAGTCTTGTTTTAATTCTCAAAGATGATATTGATCTATCTATATATAATTGGGGTAGAAATTGTAAAGTTTAAGGCTTAAACTGTACAATTTCTACCCCAATTATAAATAGATAGAACAATATGCATCTTTAATACTTAAAACAAGACTAACCTGAATAAAAAAAAGAAAATGCAGATAGAACTATAATTCTCAGGTGACGAAATGTCAAAAATGAAATGTTTCGGGTGATTGAAAAGTGCCCAGATTAAAACAAATTTGTATAATTAAAAACCACCCTTACATTAAATTTATTTAAAACCGTGTAATTAAAAACTGCACATTAAAATTAAAACAATATAACATACATAATAAATAATTTTTAAACATTAAAACCATTAAAATTATCGAATATATAAAAATAAAATACTAATTAAACTAAATACTACAAAAGAAGTTTCACTTCGTGTGGCTGATGATTTTTTTATTTGCAAATGATCTGTAGGTAGGTACTGCTTTAAATTTTTTTCTTCAAAATTATAATTTCTTACAAAATTTGTAATTTAATGACACTCGCCCTGATAACTCTCATTTTCTAAATGTTTTCGTCCCATTCTTAAAGTTTAATTACCATTCCATACCTCAAAGTTTTATTTCTAATTCGTTTAGTTTCGTTCACGCTTTTTATGCCGGTGTCATTTCTATACTTTAGTTTCAATACTGTTTCGTTACTTATGTTTTGATACTTGTTTTGCTTCTATACCAGCGCATTATTTTGTTCCTGATATGTTTAATATATCATACCAGTAGTATGGAGCCTACCCTGGTTAAAATGTCACATAGAGACGATGTATGGTGTTTCTATAGGGTGTAAAATGCTTACAAAAGCTGTTTTTTGTACGATAAACGGTTCCGGAGATATTCGAAAAAAACGAATTTTTTTCTAAAATTTCAACACCCTGTATCCCGAAAATTGTGCATTTTAGAGCGTATGTTAATAGCGACTTTTTTCATCTTTTTGGATGAGCTATCACATCCTGAAATCCTGCGCATATATAATGAAACACCCTGTACATATATCCTTCCATGAGTTATTTGCTATAGGTCTTAATAGGAAATGTAAAAGTTATGGTATACCTATAGAAAATTTTCTATAAATTATATATCAGGCCGTATCCGGAAAAAGCATGGACAAATCACATATTGAGTCCGTTAGCGCCCGATAGATTATTTTTATGGGTCTCTATGGGGTATTTTAAGCAGGGTACACAAGGAGCCCGAACTTATTCGAACTTAATCGCACAAATTAAGTATTTTTTTCACCACCAGCGTCGCTGTTTTGGTACAAATTCAGGTAGATTTTTGCATACAGTTCGGACACTTTGTGTAGGCTCCATGACCAGTAGTTTCGTAAATAGTTTTATTTCCATTAAAAACGTTACCTAATTTTTTTTTAGCAATTTTCGTTAGTTTTAAATTTAGTTTCCATACCGTTTTTGTCCGGATAAGAGCAACAATACCGTAACAGAAATGCGTTATCAAACCCTGTTTTTTTTACAAAAGTAAGAACGGTCAGAAGATACAAATTTATTATTGGTTACCTATTTTTTTTGTTTTTTAAACCAAAAATAGGTACCCATACTACAAATTTATTTTAAATCTAGTTTAAAAAAAAATTAAGGTTCTGTATTTTTTTAAATTTTAGCATTATATCCAAGCAGAATTTTGTTGTTGACAGCTAGTTAACAAAAAAATGCTGCTTAGATATAAGGCTAAAATTTAAAGAAATGCCCACAGTAGTAAAAAAAAATAATAAATTCAGCGAAAAACTTAATCTGGTTTAGGTCAGTTAAACTTTGACAGACCCAAGGGCAATAATGGTGAAATTTACTTACTCTAGCTCCATGTGGAAAATCAAACAAATAAGTCATAATTTTGTTGGTGAAGTTGTAATCACTGTTGGTTAGCAAAAATGTTTTAGCTCCACTTTCCCTTAATCTTGTTAAGAACATTGGAAGACGATCATCCTTCTTAACGTATTTTTCCATATTTTCTGTAGTTCTATTTTTTAAAGCTCCTTGTATGTGAACATAATCCACAGCATTTCTAACATCCTTAAAGTGTTAATAATCTGTATACCTATACCTATGCTATTTGTTTTATTAACTTACTTGAAAAATAGATTTGTAAGACATGTAAAGTTCGCCACACTTAACCCCAGTCTCGGTTTTTGTGTATTGTGGCGAATTTGTAAAAAAATCAACCAAACAAGCTAACAAATATGTTTCAGGTAGATTAAACAAAGTATTAAGAACGTAAATTCTTGACTCGTCCAATTGCAAAAACTTATTTGGGTACAATTGGTATACATGAGAACTGAAATAAAAAACAATCTTTTAACGGAAATAAAATAACTTGTATATTGTATGTATTAGATTAAAATTTAAGTAAGCCCATTGGGCAACAGGCTTATTTTTAGTATATAACTTTAAATCTTTAAAATTGTATAATACCAGTATATAAATTAAATTTAATAACACTTAAGTAATGCATCATGATAAAATTACAGTTTATATTAATATTATATTTTGTTTATATTTAATTGATGTAATTAAATAAAAACAAAACTTTTACTTTAAAAGAAAACATGTATCTTGAAATATACGATTTTATTAAAAAAATACCCAAAGTAGGAACAAGGATCCATTGAAAAATCCCCCATGTTTAAGCGAACCTCTCATAGGTTTAGAGATCCCCATACTATCTACAACATATTGTGCTGAAAACCTTATTTAATAAAATAAAAATAAAAATAGTGTTTTACTTACTGCTTTATGAATTCAAATCCGTGCACTGCTACCAATATATTACCGTAGGCATCTACTTTCAATAAATTACCGTAATGAGTGTCAAACCATAAACCTCTAAAATAAATGAAAAATATAATAAAATAGCACCGGGATTAATTTTTTTTAGGGATGTCAATCCCTGGGTCTTGAAATCCCGTAAAAACCGATTAAGAAAATCACGGTATAAAATGTCCCAATTCCGGGATCTTCGTAATAGGTTCAAAATAATAAAAAATACTTTTTAATGACATCAATTGTTAATTATTTTATTATTTACCGAATAATTTCGCACAACAGGTGACGTAATATGTATTTAAATTTAACTTTAAACTATTTAATATACTATAATTTAGACATAAAGCGTTGCCATATTATTTCAAAAAAATTTGTGCATACGGCAATACGTTCATTTGAACATATGTATGTAAAAGGAAATGACAATAACAGTTACTGTACTATTTAACTTGTAACTTGTAAAATAAACAAAAATATTAAAATTTATGATTTGATAAATATTAAATATTTCTATAAACAAAATTGTACAAAATTTGTAAAATATGAAAACAAATACATACAAATCTTTTATTAATTTTAAAAATAACCATGTTTTGTCATCACATTTTTAAATTAAAAAAAATCTTGTGAGAAAACATTTTTCAATAAAAAAAACAATTTAAATAAAAAAAATAAACAGCACAAATTATATTACATAAAAGATAAATACCTGACTGAAAATGTTGGGTCATATTCAAATTCTAAAATTTCTTGAGGGTATCCAATTGACACCATGTGCTCTTTAACCAAATCAAATCCAAGTTTTTCATATTCTGGGGATTTATATTCTAAAAAATTAATAATTTCGTTTTTTATAATTTAAGAATTAAAATTATTTAATTAATTTTTGTTTACCTGCCAAAGTGTAATCCATATCAAATCCATAGAATTTAATATTCTCAAGATGGAGACTTCTGTTCACGAATATTCTAAAACAGAAAATAATAATTCAATTTTTTTTTCTTAATAGGTAATTACTACTACTAGTCGTACAATAGAGCCGACAAAGAAAAACACCGGAAATTCATTATAATTATTTATTCAAAATTGGCACACATCACTTAGGACCAAATTATTTTATTTAACGAACAATTATTCTATTAAACAACCGTTTAAGTTTAAGCATTAATTAATTATAATATATATAGGTATCTTCCTAGAAATTTTGGATATAACTTTTCTTTGTTTAACTGATAATTATTAACGGTTTAACGAAATATAAAATATTTATAATTATATATATTTATAATTATATAATAATTAATAATATATATTATATTTCCTTAAATGTCAACGGTTAAACTAATTTCCACTGGAAATTTTCCAGGACGATAATTAATTGATAATAACGATAATAAGTATTATCGTTAAACAAAGAAAAATAACATATATTAAATAAGTATTGTTGAGATATTAGAGTAGAAAAAATAAATATTTAATATTTGATTGTAATCATTTTCGTAAATGGCTTTTTTGCAATAAAAATCCAATTCTAAAAAAATTTAAAAATGTTGTAAAAGAAACTATGGAAAATTATATGTATTATAATCCTTCGCACTCAGTACCTTGTAATACAATTTGCACGTTATAAAAATTTTAAAAGACCTTATTTTATAATATAATATACCTAATAGATAGATATAAAGTTCGAAGTTGTAGCACATAGAGTTGGGGATGGTCAGTTGACCGCTAGCTATTTGAACGGTAACATTTGTTCAAAGTATACAACATTTTTGCAGCATTTTATTTAGGTTGTATCAACATTATTTATTCGTTTGTTATTATCCAGTTTACCTACACAGGTCTTGATTACCCGTGAATTTCAAAATGTATGCGTTCGAACGTGCAATATCGGCACCGTTTACAATTCGGTGGTTCCCCGACCTTTCAAGGCAACATCGCAGCACAACAAAAGTGCACAATCCAGTGGATGTAATCCACAATCCACTGGGTTGAGAAAAGTTATAAAACGCTTTTTTGGGATATACCTATATTTGATGTACAGTAGGGTGGAGTTAAACACCTGATGGTAACCATTTAATATGCCTATTTAGCTAAAATACATTATGATAAAAATTTATTCGGAAAAGTGGTGAACTATTATCACAATTAATTAATTTTGAACGGACAATGTTTGGAGGGTCCGCCACCTCTTTAAAGTGCAGAATTTATCTTCTGAACTTTAAAAAGGTTGCGGAACCTCCAAACATTGCCAACTTTTTAGTACATTTTTACCATCAAGTGTTTTGCTCAGCCAATATAGGCATATTAAATGGTTACCATCATGTATTTCACTTCACCCTAATATACAGCTGAAGTTGTCCTTATAATTTTGTATTTTATTTTTTTCTATAGCCCCTTAAATTGTATAACATTTGTCTAAGGCTTTTTTAAATTTATAAACTCAATTTTTAGTCATAGTTTTTTTGTTATTTTAGCCCTGAATTTATTTTTATATAGTGATGATAAATAGTAAAAACTGTTGAAGGAAATATAAATTTAGATTAAAAATACAATTTTACAATCCATGTTCCACGTGAGCACAAGAAAGCTGGCCTGCATACGGACCGAATACGTTCGGCCGAACTGGCCGCTTTCATCCCGAAACCCGTAAGAGATTTGGCAAGTAGACCGGGCATGTCCGCCTGGCCGAATGTTGGCTATGTTTACTCGGCCGAGTGTCGGTGGTAATCCAAAAAAGACTGGATATATATTCTATAGGTTCAGTCCTGAAATTCTCTTAATGGCAAGATACTTCTTTAACACAAACAATTAGTTAGCCATTATTCTTTACTGTGCCATTACAGACGCACACATAATTATCTCGCTTGCGTAAGCAGCCGTGAGATGTATCGCTTATCCCGCGGCAGGCCGTATTCCGGCCGATTTCGGTTAGTAGGTGGCCAAACAGTAACCGGTTAGAACATGGCCAAATAATACCGGGGTAACAAAACGCGGCCGGCTGATAGCAAGCCGAACCGCCGCGGCGCGCCGGTCGGTTGCCTATGCCGAACGGTGGCCGACTGTTTTTTCGAGTGTTTAGTGCTTACTGGGTTAGAAAATTTTTTCAAACAAAAGAATAATGGGGTTAGCACTTGATGTGAAAAATAAAATTTCTATTATAGAGATTAGTCACTAGTCGGCGAATGTTTCAAATTGCGTCATCAAATTCTGAACCAAGCACAGACATTACAATTATTGTTGTTTTCTTTTACGTATATAATCCAAGGAACCGCTAGGTTAACCATATGTCGAGAAATCGGTTTTTAACATTCGACATTGATGACGCAATTTGAAACATTCGCCGCGACGACTATACAGGGTGATTCACCTAACTGAATTATTAGGGGTTTATAGAGAACTAAAAGAGACCCCAATCTGAAATTTTGGTTGCAGCCATGGGCGCCCTTACCTAGGGGCAAGAGGGGGCACTTGCCCCCCCCTGGAAATCTTCAACCCAATTAATTTTAACAGCGAAACATTTTGGTAATATTACGATGTTATTAAAAAATGTGTTTTCAATATATTTGGTTTTGCCACCTACGACCTGTTCAATTGAGAGGTCTTTTAGCACACCTAGAAGGGTTAAGACCTGGCTTAGGTCAAGAATAGGAGAAAGTCGTCTTTCTGGGCTTTGTCTAATAAGTTTGCGTCGGGATTACGTAAATCAAAATCAAAATACTATAATTAAAAAGGTGATTGATATGTTTGCCGCAAATAAAAGAAACTTAAAATTTCTGTTTGCTGAGTAGATGTTTTAGTTTTGTTTTTGTTGATTTGTTGAATATTATATGGTAGTAAAAGCTGTTTTATTAAGTAAGTTTATGTGCAAAAAAAGTGTTTTTCCAAAATGTAGTTTGGTACCTACCTATTTGTTCCTTTACCCTTCGATTTAATTATAATAATTAAGATTTATGTGTGTAAATTATATTTATTTTTTTATATATTTTATAACGTATAAAGTATTAATATTTTAGTATTAGTATTAGTATTAGTATTTTGGAACCAAGGTATTTTTTGCTACTCTTTACTCTCTTAAAATGAATTAGTCAAAAATAACTTAAGTTAATAATTATTATAAGTCATATTTGACTAATTATCATACCGAAAAGCAGTCACCAATAATTAGTCAAATTCTACTGAATGGAATAGTCAAATTTGTAGATAAAAATTTATAAAAATAAATTTTATTTGTCAATAAATATTGTTCCTAATATTTTAAAGTTGAATATATTATTTGTGTTGCTGTTTTGAGCTAAATTTTTGCATCTTTATTTGTTTTTATGGGTCATTTAACCATGGAGCCTAGGTATATGCATTTAATTCAAATAATACTTTGTTGTTGGCCGCAATCGATTAAAGAAATTAGTTACTTTTAACTCTCAGAAATAGTCAAAGATGGTAACTAATCTTTAATTAGTCAAACTTTAACTACTTACGTAGTAAAAAATAACTATTTAAAAGTGAAAACGACTATTTTATTAGTAACAAATGCTGGTACTAATTCAAATGGTAGAATTTTGACTATTTCATTTTTAGAGAGTAAATTATTTGTTTGCCCCCCCCTGGAAAATATTGTATGGGCGCCCATGGTTGCAGCTATGGTGGGATGGGATCTATTTTTCTAAAATATTTTTAATGCACTGTCACTTCCGGTTTAAACGGAAGTGACATTAACTTTGTTTTTTCAAATGGAACCATATAAATATTATTGCATTTTAGAATTATACGTAAAATTCTGGAGCAGTTGCATTTTGAATATTTTCCTATCTTCATTTGCTTTTAAGATATTTAATTTTTTCAAAAAAATTTGACACTTGGAGTGACTGACTAAAATGTCTGTACCTATTACCAACAATTGTAATGTTAAAAAGTTCATTTTTAGTATACAGGTTAAGAAAGACGTATCCTATCAGGAGCCATTAATAATGTTATATAGGGTGTTTGGTATTTACCTTTACTTTTTGCAATTTTAAATGCCAATAACTTTCTTCTTTTAAATGGAACGACAATAAATTTTTTACACCATTCGACGCGGAATTTTATTCTCCATTAAAATGTTATAGCATACCCTATAGGTACAATGAGTATTTACAGAGATATTACCAAAAATGTGAAAAAGCTCATTCGACTTGTGTGTATTGTCGCAAGTGTGCTTTGGATGATTTTATATGTCATATTTGACAAATAAGTAAATGTAAACTGACAGAAAGCTAATTGTCTCATGATGGCTGATAACAATTCTTATACTAATCGTGATATTCTTAATATGTTTTATACATATGGCGAGTGTGGCAAAATTTTGGAAAGAACTGTAAGAACTTTTAATGAGAGGTATACTTATTTAACTCCTCTTACCAAACTCAAGTTTCGAAAGATCGAAAAGACATTTATTGATCACGGCAAAGTTAAAGTTGAGAGAAACCGACAGAAAATGGTAACAGGCAATGAAGAAAATCAGATTAACGTTTTGGGATATTTCAATGCAGAGCCTCAAGGGTCTATCAGAGGAGTAGAAATTGCAGGTGGAATTTCATATATGTACATTGTACATCTGCCCAGCGGATACTCAAGAAAGCCGGTATGCAGAATTATAAATTTTAAAATGTGCAAGCCCTTACAAATGAGGATTTTCAAAAAAGAGAACGGTTTTGTACGCAGTTAATGGACAGAATTGATGATGATAACTATTTTTTGGAAAGAATTATTTGGACAGACGAAGCAAAATTTTCAAGGGATGGTATTATCAATTCCAGAAATAATCACTTTTGGTGAAACCAAAATCCCCATCTAAACTGCGCACCACTCAATGTGTCGCGACCAAAAAGTTCGTTCTTTTTCAAAACGACATAACTTTTTTGTTTCTTGAACTATTTTATTTTGGTCTGTTTTGTCTGCTAGCCTCATCCTTTGGCAATTCATGCTATAG